TTCCAAAATTGGTTGTGATATTTTTAATGGATTTAAATGCACAGATACAGTGGAACATAGATAGATAGATAGATAGATAGATAGATAGATAGATAGATAGATAGATAGATAGATAGATAGATAGGGCATTATTGACCTAATCTTTCCTTTTCTTCTTTTCTTATGCATCGCAAAAGTAACTGGTTGATAGTCAGCGTGCACGATAATATAAAAATTTAAAGGATTTCGTTGGTACTGGTAATCACCACAACACTGTAGCAGAGTCTTTTCTTTGGTAATATCAACCTTACACAGAATCAGAGTTTCACTTTATGTTGAGCAGTTATCCATTTAATAAAGACCCAGATCCTGAGTGCAACTGAAAACTGAAATATATGTTGGCTTCTAAGACATACTTTCTTAAAAGCCTTATTTTATTATCCATTAATTCCATCTGCCACTGCCAAAAATTCAGTTCCAAATAGGTCATTAAGACCCTGTTTAAAGTATTTTTTCCTTTTTATGTAATTTTGTTATCACTTTTAAGACTTGTGGGCTGTTCTCTGAATGTGATTTCTTCTGCATTAGAGTGATCCATGTCCAGTGCACTTTCTCAAGGTCAAAATGGGTTGGTTGTCTCCTGGCTGTCTGTTGGGAGTGGTCCCTGGCCCTTGCTAACTGCTGAATTGAGCCAATTAATTGTTTGAGAAATTGCTGCTTGGCACAGGTCAGAGTTGTCAGGGACTATTCAAAAAATGTTGCAGGATATGAACGTCTGAATTCCAGAGCCTAGTAATGTTCTCAGGCACCATTTAATTACTAATGTGCATAAAACCATTATGTCACAATGCGTTCCTTAGAAAAGAATGCCTGTATGGGTGTCAGTATTTCAACTCATTCCTTCCTGAAAATGAGCATTTGCATTGTTCAATGCAGTTACACAATCTCACCTCTTGATCCGCAGCTGTTCTTTCCTAATGAAAAGCAGTTTGTTGATAGTTTTTCATGCGCATGTACTGAGCAGAGAAACCCTTCTTCAGCATAGCGACAGTCTAATGTCTGGGGAGTAATGACTGACAGCCGGGGAGAGACTCACCTTCTAGCAACTTACATGTCAAAACGAGAAGCCTGGAAAAAATGTTTGGACTTCATTAAGTTTTCAGTCCTCTAAAAGCATATTTGGCAGTCTTACCTCATTCTGTTGATGTCTTGTTCCAAGATTCATGAAACATTGGATTTGAATTTACTTTTTGTAACAAATGATTCTGCAAAGAGCACATTTACTTTATTTCAATTGGTTTTACTATCATTTGAGAATGTTGTCACATATGAGCAGAATGAGATTTATCTGAAGACATTTTGCTGCCGCTGAGGGACACGGTAACAAAGTGTTGGTGCTGTTGGAATGTAAGATTCCTGTTGTTCAAATAACTGGTGTATACGTATGAGTAAGTGAACAGTCATTGGAATGGTATTTCCACATATTACATTCTGGGGTGGCATTGTTTCTCTCTATACCCAATTGGAATATTCACCTGTATACAATGTGCTTAGTTATTTAATAATAATAATTTTAGAAGTATTTTATTTTATCTCATGATCTTTTGATTTAGAAAGATATAGTTTGACAATTTATTAATGTTGCTGCTGACAATAGAACTCCGAAGATCAGGAAAGAAAGAAAACTCACATGATTTGCTGTTGTCATAAAAATTAAATTTATCCACAATGTCTGGATATGACATTTTTGATACATGTAGAAAGACACTTCCTAGATTGAGAAAATTAAGGTAATTAAATTTTGTCTTATATTCCTTACCATGCAATAAAAAATCTAAAATATTAATAAACCAAGTCAGAATTAATCTATTCAAGACATCACAAGTGATTTAATAAACACCAATGACAGAAGTTTACAGAGCTGGAGGATTGTAGCTTATTTTCAATGAAGTATTCATGTTACCATCTAGTGTTTTAAACCTTCTACTCATCCTTGCAGCATATTTTTTCCTTTCAGGCAGTGGAAGGAGATACTCATGTCTTAATGTGACATTTTATCTTCTGATGAGAACATTCCCATGAGCTTAAAACCAAAACATTTCACTATTTCAGTTGTCATCTGATGTAATTTGTTGTCAGAGAACTGTTTACAATATCGTATATGAAAGAGATATCTGTAGCAAAAATGCATGGACAGATTATGTATGGAAATGTTGTGGAACAACAACTGTATGGACAGATTAGGCACAGAAATGTGTGCCCATTTTTGACTTGCAATAACGTCTTTTTGAGCAATCAAACCCTAATAAAAGTTTTAAAAAAAAGTAAAAAAAAGAAAGTTAAACAAATCTTTTCAGCTTATCTCATAGTAGAAAATAAAGACTACATTTGAAATGAGAAGCAAATAACTATGCAGTGCTCAGCTGCATTTTTAAAGCAGTCAGATAAATGTATGTCCAATAATAATAGTGGTAATCTGGATAATGAGTTCTCATGATTCATGGACTAATCTCGTTGTCCACTGGGAGCATTAAAAACATCCTGCCTTCCTCTCATTTACATCATGGATATGTGTCCAATTGGCCGCTGCTGGAGTCAAGATAGTAGACACCATTAATCCTAGTGGTCTGATCTGCTAAAGCCAATTCCTCATTTCTATTTATGAGTCATCTGTAGCACAGAAAACCACTTGTTCTTTATAACTTAAAGAGGAGAGAAAAAGGAAAAGAAAAGAAATTTGACTTAGGTTATCCCCTTTAACATATTTCATCAAAAGAATGAATAAAATATTTATTCAGCTACTGTCCTTTGCAATCCCATCAAAGTGAATATAGAGACATTTAATAAGACATGGAAACATTAAAGAAGCCTTTTATCAGAGTGGATAGGAACCTGCTCAGAACAAACATTTTGGCCTAAGGGAAAGTTTTTGATCTGTGAAGCTTAAGCTTTTCGCACTTAAAACACTCTCGTATTGGATCATGTGGTCAATTTGCATGAAATAAATTATTTTCTTAAAACTCGTAAAACTATAAAATATAACTTGACAAGTCATTAGCAATAAGTGGTACTGTACTGGCATTATACTCACACTGGTGCAATCATTAGAGAACTGCTGCTACAGCAAAGAACAAGAAGATAATGGAACCAGCCTACAGTTTGACCTAGAGGTGTTAGATCATTGCTCCATGCTGTAGATATTACACTGCAGTCCAAATTATTGGCTATCCTTCCTCATTACTCATCTACTCAACATTCTGAGCCACTGCTCTTTATCACCTTTCACACAAAACAATTAGTCCAAGTTATAAAAATGATCAGTTTTCCTACCTGGGGATAGGTGATCTAGTTTAGGGGGGAAATAAATAAAAAAAAAAGAAGTAATCTTCTAACCTAGCAGAAAGAATAGGATTACCTATTCTTTATTAATTTTTATGTTGGTTTTTTTTTGTTTTCATTCTGAACTAGAAATTCAACTGATGAAGTTTCTGTATTTTGACAAAGGTTATGGATATAACTTTTGTATTCTAGTTGGTAACAAAAGTGTTCAGTGGTTCATTAGTTCAGTTTGCAACTTCAAGATTTTTTTTTTTAAGGCATAAAGTGTTTGGAAAATCATAGCTAAATACCTAGATTCCTAAAGTTTGCCTAACATTCATTTTAAGGCTGTAGTTATTCTATTATGAGATTGGTAAATGTCCACTTGTGATTATTGCCAAGACAGGAATTATGTGTAAAACCTAAGATTTTTACTATTTGTTGCAAAGCACCTTCAAGCACTGATTTTACCAATGTGTCAACAATTTCTCAGTAGCTCAGGCACATGAGTCAAGTCTGAGCAGCTCTGTACATGGTATTTTATACAAATTACTACATGAACTAAACCACAAGCCTGCAATTGTACATATGCTGATGAGATGCAATAACATTAAGACCATGATGCTCAAATCCCACTTCTGTCTCCAAGATGATGTTTTTCTCATGTATTCCCTTTGAGTACACATACCTTTGTAAAATGAGAGAAGTAAGTAAGATGTTGCCGTTTCCAAGGCCCATTAAGATCTTGATTTCTCTTCTGAGTCTGTATCAAGCATGAGGCATGGCTTTGAGTTTCTGATGTGGAGTTGGAGCTGAGATTTAACAGCCTGATTGCATGTGGACTCTGGTGCAGTGAATGTATGCTGGTGCGTAATTGTATTTAACTACTTATTTTTAATTCTTATGTCACAAAAAAATTGTACGTTCCAAATGACAATGACAATGAAATGATAGCTACTGAGAATAAATGTCAGAGAAAGGAATTATAAGGAAATAAGGAGACTGCAAGTATGTTAGAAAACAGAAAATAAGCATAAGTAGTAAGAGTACACTAAATCTGCTTGTGAATCTTGGGAGAAATGAAGTGAAAAATGCTATGTTATAAAGCATGATATCTGCACATAGGCTAAGACAGTACAGAAAGTCCCAGTTGAACACTCTGAGAGAGTAGAGGTGTTTCAGCCAGCAGCTGGAATCAGGACCTCAATGTTTACAATGCATGATGTATTGGTTGGTATTGCCTAATTAAGAATAATCCTTAAGGATGAGAAACATCATAATTTTTACTGGTGTTTCAAGGAGTTCATAATAAGTGGACTTGAGGGAACAACTGAAGATCATTTGTTTGACAGAAAAAAATAAGCCTTTACTGTAGAAGAGGCATCATGAATATGTAACCTTATTATCAAAGTATTATAGTTCAGTTCTGAGTCTAATGAAGAAAAATAAAACTGTAAGCATTTCAGCATATGTTTGAGTCACCTGGACTTCATTGATTTCAAATGTGTCTCTTAAAAATAAATTACTCTGTTTGTTGAGAAATACATTTCCTTCCTAAGGTGTCTGAAAGATAATAGCTTTTATGTGCAGTGTAATATTTTAAACATGAGCAATTTTGAAGGGAGTTCAGCCTCCCGGTGAAACTGCTCAGCCTGTTAGTGAATACATTTTCTATGCTTCTTAACCAGTATGCTTGTGTGCAGGACATAAGGAATTTGTACCACCTCGTCTTCTTCTAGAACACAGTCCAAGAAAGAAACCATCAGCTATTGAAGGCAAGTTTTTCTACCTTTATTAGCCTCTTCTCATTAACTTGACTGTCTACCCTAATGGATTTTTTGTTTATTTTTATTTTTTGTAAACATAACCTATTTTATAAAGCTGATCAAATAAGTATGGTTGGGACAGGAATGGCACACTGAAATATGCACAATACCTGAATGTTCCCTTATGGTAGTCCCACAGATGGCTTGAGAGATTTCCTGAGTGAAACAGATTACAGAATTGAGGCCTAATATATAAAATGCTTTGAATGATGTTCAACCATGAGTTGTTATCTAAGTATAAACATAATCAACATTATCCTCTTAAAATACTTTGGATTACTCTTTCAGCTATTGTTATTCAGTAATTTTTCTGTGCATTATCTGCAATAATGAACATAATATTTCTGGATCTGCATTTATCAACACTATTGTTAAAACCACTAAAAGAAAAATACAAAGTCAGATCTTACATTCAGAAGATTAAAACATAATCCCTGCCATTGTATTATATTATTTATAGTCTAACCATAACAGTAAACTGGTTAAAATATGCATTTTAATTTTAAAATGGACTACTCCAATGACTTAGAACTACTACTGCAATACACATTCTTAGTCTTTATACCATACCATTTAATAATACAAATTTAATAACATGATTCTTTTCACGTAATTATATAGAAGTCTTCATATGATACTTCAGAGTCATTGAGTCACACCACAGCACTTGTTAGTTTCTCTCTTAGAGGTCTTAGTTCTACATTATCCAGAAAGAAATTGCAGTCTAAGAGAAAAACAGATGGGATGGCAGCAGAATAGGTAACAAGAGCTACAAGATTTAACTGCATTTGGAAACAGAAAATGAGAGTTAGATTTTGGCAGGACTTGTGACTAAAACAAAGCATTAATTAGATATTTCTGTGATGTTATTATTGTGACCAGAACATTTGAACAAGATTAGTTATGTGACTTATTATCTCTTTCCGCAAAATCTCATTACCTCAAATGAATATTTCTTTTTAAACATGTTGTTTAAAGGAGTACAAAACTGCAGTTATTGTGACACAATATAGTATATAAATAGATTTGCAGTCCTGTTTATTTTAGGAAAATGCCTGATCCCTGCTTATCAGCAGAAAGAAGTTGCTGCAATGTTAAACACTGTTATCCACCAATTAACCGTAATGGAAAAAAGACATAATAGAACATGACTGCCACATTTGCTGAGTGATAAACTTCTGCTTTAAATATAACTGTTCTACAAGATGAACTAGCATTAAATTAACATTAGGTTCTTGATTTTCAAAATCATGAGGAGCATGCAATTACTGCAATTGCACTTAGAAATGGCTATTTATGATCAGCTACACATTTGTGTGTTTCATTAGATCATTTATGTGTGCAATTGAGATAATTGGGAATGTAAATTAGACACCCATTTGGCAAACAAATTGTGGGGGGCAGATTATCTGCTCAGAACCATACAAGTGAATTCCCTTCAAAGCTCAAGGCTGGTCACTAGGATACAATACTGCTCATGCAAGAGATTTAGAGGAAACAAAGAAGGCCGAATTACTTGTAAAATACTACTTTGAAAAGCTGTTATACTGTGCTATTCTATGTTTTCTGTACATGAAAAAATATGTCACACTGCCTTTAGGAACCTAAACCCTGAAGCTTTATTTCAGCCCTGGGGAAAAAAAAAAAAAAAAAAAAAAAGGAAAAAAAAAAGGAAAAAAAAAAGAAGTCATTTTTAGGAATATTTGGCATAGTGTCAGAAGGGAACAAGATGACTAGGCAGAGAAATATAAGTCTCAGAAATAGCTAAAGAGACATCTGCATGTGACTTCTTAGCGCTTACATACCTTTATGACTGGTACATCACTAAATATCCCTGATCAGGCAAAGGGGCAGATTGAAATAAAAGATCCTTCTTATAATAAATATAATTGAAGGTAATTTATTACATTCTCAGAAAAGGGAATAAGTAGAAGTGTTTATTAATTGAGAAATGCACTTCTTAAAACATGAAGACTGGCCCAGCCTATGGCAGAAAAAAACAGCTCCAAAAAATTGGTAAAACTATAGGAAGTAACAGAATGGTTAACACACAGAAAATTTATGGAACCAGTCTATTTACACCCTGGGCTTTCCAACTCAGTGATAGTCAGACACTATATACGTAATCATGCCGCTGGTGAAGGCTGAAAGGATTTTACTCTTTTTCTAGATTGACATGTTTTCACTTTTGTTCTGTTTTACCATTTCTTTCTTAGGTAATCTTGGACCATTCTTGTTTTCTGATAAGGCGAAAATAGTGGTAGTATGTGTGCCAGATATCTCCAAAATTTTTAGATTATTTGATATCTTCAAATAGAAAGTTTTTCCCGGATAGTATCCAATACCCTGTAGGTACTATGCTCTGCTGAATTCTTGAGGTCTTAGAAAAAGGGCATATTGTTATTATATATTAAATCTTAAACTTTCTCTCCTTGCCATTGCCATTTTCTCTTCCTTCACCTCCACAGTAAATTTTTTTGAAAAGGGGTATCATGTGAGACAATCCCAATTTGTACACTATATTCTAGTAGTATGCAATAAATGGCATTAAAGTGTGTGTGTGTGAGTTGAAATTTTCAGCTACCTCCTGGTCAAAACACAAAATGCTTTGTATTCATCCAGTCAGAAAGAAAAAGAACAGATCATTGCTCTCCTATTTCATGGTTCTTTGGCTCTTTTCAAAGATCTTACCATCAAAGTTTCAGGTCACCAAGAGAAGAGAATAATAAAACTAAACAAAAGGTCTTGTAACAAGAAACAAGAGAAAGAGGAAAAGGAAATTTGTGAAGAGAAATACCTAACTTCTACCTAAGTTTAAAGCTTGGAAACCTTGTTTGGTAAACTGTGAAGTGAAATAACTTTTAAATTCTTTATCTTATCTTTTTCTGGAGCTTTCACAAGGACTTGGAAGCAGTGCTCTCAGCTTGGCTGACACTCTGATGCTGCCATCTAGGGAGGACACGGGTGTCGCCTGTAATTTGAACAGATCAGTTTTCCATTGCTGCCTGAACTTTGACTTTAATATGCTTCTTCTTCCTTGACTATAGTCTTCTCCGCCTTTTTAACTCTAGATTTCTTGTATTTTTTATTCACTGGCATCCTAAAACTGCTTTGCAGTGTGCACTGATTCTCTTTTATTCTCTCCCTCAGGTCTTGACTTTTTCACTCAGCTCACATAGCTTTTAGCTTCCTCCGTTTCCTCATTCACATAAGAGGGACTCTCCCTTCTGAGAGTCCTCTTATGTTATGCTCTCTGACACGGCAGGGTAATCTCTCAGGAAGATGCTGCAGTTAGACAAGAAATGTCAAAACTAAGCTCAGAGGCTTAGCTAGTTATCCATAAGGCTTCATGTTAATTGTCTCAGAATAGTTTGTCTTTGCTTTCTCACAAGATCACAGCACCTTTGTGAGAAGCCTTTATCAAAATGTTTCTCCTGGTGGAAGGAATCAATGAATATTACATGTGATCTCACACAGACTTTGCTTTGTATCACTTTGAAGAGCCCTGTATCACGAAAAACCTTTGAATGGCATTGTATCTGAGTATGATTTTCCAGGTTATATTGTCCTTGAACTCTGTGCTTGTATCTTTGAGTGGGAGAGTATTGATCATGGAAGAGTCATCATCATAACCATTCTGATTTGTTAAAGCATTGTGATAGGTTCTGAAATATCCCCCTTCTCTGACTGAAGTATACTGTCTGTTCCTTGCCATCTTGCTGATATTTGTGATATTAAGTGAGCTTTAAAAAAAAAAAAAAAATAAATTAAAGTTTCTGTAGCATCTTCAGGGAACCTATGAGGAAAAAATATTGTTTCTAGGTCACTGTTTGAATCCTCTAATTACAAATTTTGCAGAATGTAATAAAGCAAATTGCTGTGAAATGTGTTTAACTTCCTCCAGAACTCCTGTGGATGCTAAATTGGCAATTGCATCTATGTTTGTTGCTGTATTGAATGTACACTATCCGTCTATCTTAGGAAGAATTTCTAGTCTATACTTCTGTTCATGAGTATAATATTATGGGATATAACCAAGAATATTTAAATTACTAAAGTCAATACAAATTTTGGCAAAGCTCCCTTGATGTATAGAAGTGTATAAATCTTGTACAAATCAATCTGCTTCTGTACAGTCCATCAATGTCTGCCTTCTCTTCTGTAAAAAGAGTGTTCTATAAAAAACCTGGGTTTTTTTCCTTTTGTAGTATAAAATCAATTACCCTTAAAAAATCCTTCCAGTGAAACAAAACCAAAAACTTTTCCAAAAAGAACAATTTTGAAAAATTTCTTCCAATTTAGAATATTCTTAATAATATTGACATGAATTGTGGATAAAAATCCATTTTCTGTAGCATCTTCAGGGAACCTATGAGGAAAAAATATTGTTTCTAGGTCACTGTTTGAATCCTCTAATTACAAATTTTGCAGAATGTAATAAAGCAAATTGCTGTGAAATGTGTTTAACTTCCTCCAGAACTCCTGTGGATGTTAAATTGGCAATTGCATCTATGTTTGTTGCTGTATTGAATGTACACTATCCAGCTATCTTAAGAAGAATCTAGTCTATTCTTCTGTTCATGAGTATAATATTATGGGATATAACCAAGAATATTTAAATTACTAAAGTCAATACAAATTTTGGCAAAGCTCCCTTGATGTATAGAAGTGTATAAATCTTGTACAAATCAATCTGCTTCTGTACAGTCCATCAATGTCTGCCTTCTCTTCTGTAAAAAGAGTGTTCTATAAAAAACCTGGGTTTTTTTCCTTTTGTAGTATAAAATCAATTACCCTTAAAAAATCCTTCCAGTGAAACAAAACCAAAAACTTTTCCAAAAAGAACAATTTTGAAAAATTTCTTCCAATTTAGAATATTCTTAATAATATTGACATGAATTGTGGATAAAAATCCATTTTCTGATAAATTTTAATCCAAGAAAGAATTA